ATTCAAGCAATTTTTAATTTTAAAGATTAAAATGGAAGATTTCAATATTATAGTGGCTTATCATGCAATATTCAAAAGGAGGGGTATTTTAGGTATTTTAATTTGATAAATTGGTCAAAGATCATTTTGGAAAAATGGTCTCTTTGTTTAGGTCATTTCCATGCATATCCCTAAAATAGGGGCATATGGCTTCTTGATCATTACAGTTTTCAAAATGGTCGTTGACTTAAAAAAAAAATCGAAAAATCATTAAAAACAATGAAAATCCTTTTTGCCCTCACACCGACCTAAAGAGTAAAAAAGAGTGGAAGTTCATGTTGCAAAATCGCCGCCTATGAGTAAGGAAAATCGACAATCCAGATCGGAGCTCTCCATCGCTGTGAAGAAGATAAGTTTTGAAACTCTTATCTGCCATTAATCTTTGATTTCTTGAATTGTTGAGGGTTTAGGGTTTGAAAATTTAGTTAAAAAATGGTTGTATAACATAAATAATTAAAGGTGTTTCAATTTTACTGGTGAACATGTGGGTGGAGATGGCGATCTCCGCCATTGGAGCCGCCTGCAACGAAGCAGGCGGCGAAAGACAGGCCAACATCTAATAAAATATAAATAAACAATTTCAATAAACAATAAAACGAATGTTAAATAGACAATTAAAATAAAAAATTTAAATAAACAATTGAAATAAATAATGAACATTTAAATGATTTAAATAACAAATAAATATCAAAAATCAAAATAAGTAATTAAAATTTAAATAAACAATTGAAATAAATATCTAAAATTTAAAATAAACAATTAAATATTCAATTAAGAATTAAAATAAATATAAATAAACAACCAAATAAATAAACTAAATAATTAAATATTTAAGTTTAAATGTTCAATAAATAATTTAAATAACCAATAAATATAAATAATTAAAACAAATAATTTAAATAAAAATTGAAACAAATTAGATAAACAATTGCAATAAATAATAAAGGTTAAGCATTCAATAAACAATTAAAATAAATATTAAATAAACAAGTAAACTATTAAAATAAATAATATAAATAAACATTTGAAATAAATAATGAACATTTAAATAATAAATAAACAATTTAAATAATCAAGAAATATAAATATTCAAAATAATTGATTTAAATAAGTAATTAAATATAAATAATCAAAGTTAGTAATTAAATATTAAATAAACAATTTCAATCAAACAATAATCATATTTTAAATTATTAATTAAATAATAAATAAATATAAATAATCAAAATAAGTAATTAAAATTTAAATAAACAATTGAAATAAATATCTGACATTTAAAATAAATAATTGAATATTTACGTTTAAATGTTCAATAAATAATTTAAATAACCGATAAATATAAATAATTAAAAAAATAATTTAAACAAATAATAAAAAAAATTAAGCATTTAATAAACAATTAAAATAAATGTTAAATAAACAACCAAAAAATTTAAAAAATAATTTAAATAAACGTTTAAATGTTCAATAAATAATTAAAACAAATAAATTAAATTAAAAATTAAAATAAATAATAAATAATAAATAATTAAAAATTCAATAAACAATTAAAATAAATGTTAAATAAACTATTAAACAATTAAAATAAATAATTTAACAAAAATTATTTTTTAGCTTTTTATAATTCAATGAAAATAATTTTTAATTACGCTCATTTTCTTTATTCCATTATCTATTATTTCTTGCGTATATTAGTTACAGTTCGATTAGTTTAATTTTGTAATATTATGCTTTATCCATTTTCAATTAGCAATGTTCTAACATTTAAAATTTTACAGGATGAATTAACATTTGGACGTCGTCATGAGACAGATTCCTGATAAACTTATGTCGAACTGTAACTTTGCCAATTTCACATCAGTATTGGATTCGTTGGACGAGGAGCATGCGGAGATATAACATCGATCCTACTTATGGTCCCTGTATTCGCAGCACTTTGTACAGTTTTTTTGGGCAGTTGCTCAATTTATTACTATGTCGACTGCTTAAGCCAGTTAACGAAGATGCGCTCCACTTTTGATCTTGGGGGCAAGGTTGCCACATTTTCCACATTCAAGTTTGCCCTCATTATCGAATTGAGATATATGGGCGAAGAAGCAGCGATGACCCGTATTCTGGCAAACAAGAGGCTGCTGAATGATTATTTTAATAGGCATACGACAGTGACACTAGTGCAGTTAGGAGATGCATTCAGAGAATGTGACCAAATGTCCGACAAGTTGAAGTTGGGGATGGTGTTTATACTCGAGAGCGTATTGATGTGTCATCATAGGAAAATGTCAATTGACTTTTTTATTTGAAAGTTGTTGATGACATCGATACGTTCAACAGCTATCCATGGGGGTAAAGATGCTTTGCCGGCACTTTACACGTCTTTAGGAGGGAGCATTCGATGCCTAGGAGGGATAGATCCAAGCCTAAGTACGATGTATATGCTCTGTTGTTAGCTTTGCAGGTAAATATTTAACGTAATAAATTATCTACTTTTTTATTAAATTGTACATTTAATAATTGTAATTGTTGCAAATATGAGTCTACGATACTGTCCCCATCCTGACTGGTCGGTATGCGAGGAGAGAGGATACATGCTGCCCTCGGATGCATCTCTGCGCGAGCACAAGACAAACCCTTTGCAAAACAATTATCAGCTTTCTTCGACGATCCTGATGTACGTATTATACATTTGCGATTTATATTGTATGTCCTTTTCGAAATCTTGATACACAATCATTAATTCGATGAAATGTCGATATGTCAACTTGAAATCCTCATTGAGTTGACACTGTCGATTGAGGAGGAGGGTCAGATTTATATTCGGCTTGACTCGTTGACACCTCTACTAAAATGTATTTAGAAATTTGAATAGAGGAAAAAAAAAAAAAAAAAAAACAAGTGAAATGTTATTGTTATTTGGCCCTTATTTGATTTAGATAAAATATTAATAACAAATAAATTTAAACACAAATTTTATGTGGCTCACAGTTTTTATCAAATTTTTAATCATATATTTTACAATTTTATACAAAATATACTGAAAATATGATTTTTAGCAAAATTAAAAAGGGGCTCACTTCAAAAAGGTTATTTTGAGTTGAATAATTAATTAATTACATTTTTACAGGACAAAACTTGTGTTACTCTTAGTTGAACTAAATTTGAAGTTAATAAACAATTCTAGAGACAAACAAAGATTCTAAACGTGTAACTAACAATTTTATAAAATCAGTTTACACATTACCTCAAAAAAGATCAATAGTAAGAATTTGAATTATTAGTTAAATGTTTTAAATTAATAAATAATACATAGCCCATGTTTGAGCCTCATTTTGGGGGGGGGGGGGGGGGT